CCAGCCCCTAAGCCACGTGTTGATGTTGGTTTATACAGTTTTCTGTTAACGTAAATGTTCAGATTTTCTAGTCTGTTGCAAATCTGTAGAAGGTATTTTTTTTAAACTAAATGTGTCCTCTAGTGCAGTACAAGCCAGATACATATGTTGAGTTAGGTTTGTGTTTAAGTATCATTGAGCTGTATGGAGGAGTGCCAGGCTCCCAAGAGAAAAAGTACTAAAGTTTCTTACTCTATCTGGAGTTTTCAGCTATTCGCTGCATGTGTTCTGTGCTGATGTATTGTTTGATTGTCTGCCTCCAGAGCAGTTATACAGAGACTTATTTTATTCTTTGGCTTGTGATAATTCTGGGAGATACGAAAGCTCTATTAAGATGCGTCATCCCATTTGGAAATGCTAATGTCCGTTTCCAGAGTGTGTCTGATATCATAAGCAGTGTCTGCACCACTGAAGAACTTTAAACCTCTGTCTCTCTATTTTTCCTGTAAATATACCACCAGGTGGTTGTTGAGATGAAGTTACAAGGCTTGAGGGTAAATAAAAATCATTACCTCCAGTGTGAATTTTCATTAGAAGTGAAGTGTCTGTGGTGCCAGTTTAATGAGTATAAAATTCATATTGCAAAGCAATAGATTATTTCTTCATTTATGATACTGTACAGGTAAGAAATTCTCACTGTGACACTCAAGTAGTGCATCTGTTTAATGTTGCAAATCGTGTTGGAAAAACCTTAAATGAAGATTATCATATTAATTCTTAAGACTAAATGCTTCTGAAACCAAAATTGCATGGATTGCTTGAAGCTTCTTTAAATGCATTTTGTTTTGCTGTGAAAATCTCCCAAAGTCCCCAAAACCCAGTGTTGCTTAGAGTTGCATTCAGAGCAGGACAATCCTTTATTATGGCCTCTTCCCATCCCAATTCAAATGAGTTATCCAGAACAACACGGTGCTCATAACCTGAAAGGTACTTTACTTTTCTGAAGAACTGAAATTATTTTCAAATGAGAAATTATTTGCATAGGTTTTGTATGGAAATTTAAAAAAAAATCCTGTACATTTATGTTTTGAATGCCAGTCCCAATATGAATGATTTGTGCTGCTAAACTTATCAAGAAAGAGTTTAGCTTTTGAACCATAAATGTATGGTTAGAAATGTTTCCTCTAGAAATCTGTAAAGGAGCGTTTAATAGAGCATAGCCATGTTCTGTGTTTTCTCCCTAAACCTGACATAGTAGTCCATACAACTGAACTGTTTTTGTTCAGAGGAGTATGTTAATTCTGAAATCTAAATAAAGTAGCTTAAAATATATTATTAAAAATCTCAGTGTTCATCATTTTGTCAGGAACATCAATCTGTAATGGCAATTTTGAATTTTAATGAGCTTCAGGGAAAAATGATCTATGATAACTTTAGAAGTTGTTCTGAAATCTTTATGAAGGCTATGTTGGCAGCTTTATTAAGGTTTAAAGAAGCTTTTCTCTTGAGGACAATCTGCAGTTCTTAAGTCAGGATTTAAATACAGAATTACTTTTCTGAAAGTCGTAAACTTCTCTGCTGAACATTTACAGTAACCTCTAATTTCACCAAGCAAAGAAACTTAAAGCTCGCATTGAAAATTGATTCATACATATTGGATGCTTTAATTTTCGAAAGACATTGTTCGTGATGCCTAGTATTTTAACTGATTGTCCTTGTAAATAAAAGATTAAAAAAAAGAAAAAAGTTAAGAACCATTTTTGTGAAGAAGTCTAATGGGGAAAGCCAATAGACTGCTTATAAAAACCTGAGCAATCATTTTCAGCTGGAGTGTCGCTTAAGCACTTTACTTTTAAGCCTCTTAGTTAAGGAGTTTCTTTATAGTTGTTTTCTGAGTCTTGAAGAAAAGCTTCCTACTGTTTTGTTTAGTTCGGTCAGCTGGAGTGTCGCTTAAGCACTTTACTGGCAGCCTCTTAGTTAAGGAGTTTCTTTACAGTTGTTTTCTGAGTCTTGAAGAAAAGATTCCTACTATTTTGTTTAGTTCGTTTTTTTTGCCTTGCAATAGCTGCAGCAACTCTGCTTCTAAAATACTGGGAATAGGATTTACTATTTTACAGATCTTAATCAGCTCTTTTGTCATATACTGTGATTCTTCCTACCACCTGGGTAATTGTGGTGCCATAGCTTGGCCTCTGACAAATAAGAATTGTCTCCTCAGAACTGAATTGCAACAGGTGAAAAAGAGAGCGAGTGAACTTGAAAAAGCTTTGCCGATTGTATTGTCCCCATTGCAATTGGTCCACAGTTTCCAACTCTCTTATTTTTCTATTTCCTGTGCAAGACTTTATCTCAATCAGATCCAAATTCTATTACTCTAGAGCATTTAGTGTAAAAAAACCTATGTAATAGTCTGTTTTTGCCAGTTATATACTACTTGATAGAACTTTCCAAGTGAAAGCATTTGCATTTGTCTGATACAGCAACTAGATCATAATTCTCTTCTTGTTTTTATTAGTCAAACTTTTATTCCATTGAGTAGGTATGTAATTACTGTAATGGCCCATAAAATGTATTTCTCAGGAAAGGATGGTACAGGCTCCAAGAAAATGCATTGTATCGTATTTTGTGGGGAAAAACCTCACTCTTGCCCAGTTTCCGTGGACCCGAAGACCAGGTCTTCTTTCCAAACAGCTCATTACCTCCAGTCCAAAGCAGTCTTTTTTGGTCCCGTGTAAGGCAAGGAGGAGATGGAGGTGAAATGTGACTTAGGTTGGTGAGAAGCAGCAAGTGATGGAGGTGTAAGAAGGTGAAATGTGACTTAGAAGTGTGAGAGGAGCAGCAAATAACTAGGCACAGATTTGGTAGAGGCAGAAGGAGGAAATTAGCATAGAGCATAAACTTATTATGAATATTCAAGTTGATTTTTGGTTTATCCATAATAAAATAATCTTGTTAATTAGGTTTTTTAAACAAAGTAGTTGATTTTAGTGAAATTTAGTATTTTGTTTTCTACCCAGACTTGAGAAATGCGAATGTCTAGCCCTGATAACTTACTTCTTCATAGTTTTCTAATCAATGCCTTGTCTTTTACTATTTTGGTCCCTAGCAGTACTACTTCATCCTTATAACCCAAAAAGAGTGGAGTAAGGGTTGACTATTTTTCCCCATCATCTTCTGTGGGAGAGATGAACTAATACACTGCCTAACTTCTTTTGTTTTCCCCTTAGACGTAACTTTGGTTTGATTCAATAGACCTATGTTTTTTGCGCACTTTCAAGACAGCTCGTAGAAGTAAACTTGAGTAGGTGTATAATAAGGTTAATTGCTTTCATATCCGTGTGTACAGTGAGTGGTGGTCTGTTTTCCTTTTTTGGTCTGTCTCTTTATTTCCTATATAATAATTATGCTAACTTCATCTTTATACTTATTCTGGTTGATTTAGGAACTTGAACTGTATTAGTTCTGAGTCATTTTGTTTTGCTGCTTGCTCTTTTTGTATTTAGAGCAAATGCCTGTTGATATCAATAAAATAAGCATAATTAATTAAAAATCTCTAATACTTGAACTTCCTACAGATATGTGAGCTTGAAGGAAACTACTCTTTAGCATCTTAAGTATTTGTAGATATTATTTACATGCCAAAATAACTTATGAGCTTTGTGTTCTTGAGATACTAGTATTAGGTGTCTAATTTAGAAAACATAAAAAAGTGGAGTCATGCTTGCCTGTCTGTATTAATATGTTTATTGATACTATATTGATTTTTATATCATTTATATAATTTTTCGTGTCCTAGAATATTCGATTTTGTAACTCGAGTAATGAAGACTTTTTTTTCCCTTTCCAGTACCAATACTGGCTTGCGGAGGTGATGACTGCAAAATAAGTTTGTTTATACAGCAGAATGGTCAGGTAATTACAGTTTTTGTCTCTTACTCAGAACATTACTCAGTTCTGCTTTTTTTCTTTTAATATGTGCTGCTGATTTTTCTGAGGTTGTTCAATAAGTACTATCTCTGTTCAAATAGTTCATCCATTTTTCTAGGTAATGATGAAATGCACATACAGAATGTTGAAGTTGATTTCAGTGCATAAAAGTGTTAGGTTTTCCTTATTTTTTCCCTGTGTGAAGATAGCCTGTGTTTCTATTCCCACTGATATAAAATAGCTATGGCTGTCTTTTATGCATTGAATGGTTCATATGGAAATGATGTTACTTTCAGTCTATAAATTCTTATAATAAAACTGATATGATTTCTATCTGTGGAATTGTATGTTTGTTGCTAAGTACACCCTTTGTGATGAATGCTTGTGAATGTCGAAAGAAGTATTTGAAGGAGTATCTGATCTTCTAAAAGCGCACGCATTTTTCATGTATTGTTTGGGAGCTGGCACTCTTTAGTTTTTCATACAGATAAATGTTCCTTTGGAGCATCAGAAAGACATTCTTTCCTTTCTTGCATATGTTCAGAAGTTTTGTTAGACTCTAAATCATGTGTTGAATGACTGTTTTCCAAAACAGAAGTCAATGTCACTTCTTTATCAGTCCCTTAAAAAACCCCCTCAAACCACAAACACCGCCCCAGTGCACCAGTGAACCTAACATTCAGAAACCCCCATTGAAACTGACGTGTGAGAACCACTTAGGCTTCTGGATTCCTTCAGAGTCCCCTTAGAGATTAAAGAATAGATACTCTTTTTTGCTTTTTGAGAGAGGTAAAAGCTACTTTATAGATAGTTTTGCCTGTTCACGCTGCCATATACAATAAGATTATTTTTTTTTTTTTTGGCATCAATAAAATAAATACTTCATCCTTTATCGGCTATGTTCAGTGATTTCTTGACCACCAAGCGGGAAAGAAGGGTCGCTTTCTTAGCTTCCCCCCTCCCCCCCACTATGTAGCTCATGAGTTAAATCAGTTTAATGATTCTCTGGGAATTAGCAATGGCAGAATGCCACTCGTGATTCTCAGTGTGCTAAAGAAAAACTTTTATCTCAGGGGCTGTGCAGTTGATTTTCCTCATTCAAAATCTGGAACTTTTCTTGTATGGTTCAGATTAACAAGTAATATGCAGTTTGACTGCTAAAAATGTTCAGAGAAACATAACGTATTTTGCGAGTTGTTGACCAAACTTTTGAGTATAACAACATTCTTAGCCATTCTTAAATGCAGTCAGTCTGTGGAGGGTAAAGGAAGGTAGCTGGAATAAATAAGCACCATCTTCAGCCTCATAAGCAAGTTTATGGTGCTGTCTTTTTTTGGAGGTAGGAAATTTTATTCATACAAGGGGTGAGGAATTTTCTCTTATTTTAAGTGTTATTTTTTACACCTTCAGTTTTAGGAAGTATTTTCACCAGCTGTCCTGGCAGAGTTGGCGTTCAGAGTCTCTCTTTTTCAGATGAGCTGGGAACTTCTGGTTGGTGTCTGTCTTAACTTTCCAGAACATCTCTTTTAACTAAGTAGACCATACAGACCTCAAAGAGAAGAGCCCAAATTTGATTCCATGTGGAGTAAAGGTGCCTGTGTAGTGCATTACAGCTATTAACAGAATGAAAACATCCTTGTGAGCCTTCTGACATAAATTCCTTCCTAGCTGCTGAAGGGAGGTTCTCCTCTTTAGTCAGGTTCCCTCAGATCTGCTGACACCTTTTTTTATGGCTTCTGTAGTACTTTTAAAGGTATTTGAAGGAAGTGTTACTGTTGTCCTGCCATTTTTTACTAAAACTGAGCGTAGAAGAGTCATTATAATCTAAACTTCTGTGTCATTCCCTCACTGGTAAGGGCCTGCAGCTCTGTCCTGTTAATTGTGACTCTTGGAAACCTCTTTCCTTAGTTAACAACCTAAAAAAGATTGTGTGGACCCAAAGGTAGAATGTAAGTTCATATTGGGACGTTCTAATGAAACTTGGGGGGCATTATTATACTCTGAGGGAGGATGAGGCATCTTCAGTTAGCTGATTCAGGCTGCCTTTTGGTGAACTCATTAATTTTACAGTTGAAATATATTTATTCATAAAAACTGCTTGGTTTTTGAAATTGAGTGGGCAGGCTTCAAATCCTTTAAGACTCTCTACCCAGAGATCCCTTACTGTGTTAAGCAGTAGAGAGAAAATGAACTCTTTGCTTTTCTGAGTTCTTGAAAGAGAGTATTGATTTATAAAAGTACCCAGGGAAAAATCTTTCAGAAACCATTATATGTCTTCCTGCTTGAGATATTACTGGTCTATGGAGGGGAAGTAAGTAAACCAGAGGATCAAAATAGAGCTTTAAAACTAATCATTTATATGTTGAGCTTGGTTTCTATGAGAAGATTTTGCGGTGCATGTTTGACTATGTTTCCCCCAAATAATTTGGCCTAACTGAAAAGTGGAATAAGAGACTCAAAGATAATTTGAGCTCTTTCTAATTTGATGAGATTAACAGCTGGATAGAGGAGGGGTATCACATCTGGTGTCCGGTGGAAAAAAACTGAGACGACTTGGACCTCTGTTGCCAAATTTGCCAAACAATACTACCAGCTTGGTCCTGAAGGACATGTACCCAAAGTGTGGGCAGAGTTCGTTGTGCAGAGTGTGCTGGGCATGTCCACAGACAACCTGGCTTCATTAGTTCTGCTACCTACAGAACAGCTTTATTCTTTGCCTAAAAGAAGAGAGACCAGATTGCTGCTATAAAAAAATGTTCAGAGATTAGTTAAGAGGCATGGGAAAGCCTGTGAAGGAGGTGAGTCGGACCATGAGCTTTTGTTAAATTTAACTGTTGGTACTGTAACTTCTTAAGTATCCAGTGAGGACCAAGGGGAAGACTGAAATAGAGAAGGAGAAATACGAGATTATAGAAACAAAAATCTGTAAAAACGAAAAGAATGACAGATTAAAATACTTGTAATATAACCTAGGTGATAATAAAAACTTTGAATGAATCATTTAAAAATAATGACTGTATATATCTGCAAGAAGCTTTAAATTGATGCAGTTTTAGAACAGAATACATCTATTTAGAATCTATCAGTAAATTACAATCCTTAGTAGCAGCTTATTTTTCCAGTTTCAAAGAATAGAAGCTGTAAATATAAAAGACTTGAAAATCCAAAGCTAATTGCTGATATGTTCATGGTAATTAAGTGCATTTCTATGATGTAACGGGAATTTTTATTCAGTTTCAGAAAACTTTAATACTCCCTGGCCATGAAGATTGGATAAGAGGCATTGAATGGGCAGTCTGTGGTTAGTATGAAAGATGAAGTAAAGTGGAATACTGGTTTAATGACAGTACTACTGTTTTATCCCTCCAACAGATGGCTTTGATGCACTGTAGTGCCTAAGCTCTTGTGGTTGTGATTTTTTTTTTTTTTCTCCCCTCCTTGAGGTGGTGGTACAAATATTAAAAATCAAGATGGAACTTTGTGTCCTGTTAAATCATAAGAATTGTTGAACCTATACTACAGTTATATTTTAGTTATCAAAATTATGGCTACAGTAGGATTGATACAGAACACTCTCATCCCTCATTTTGTTTTGCTTGCTTCAAGTATGTTTACCTGACTGGTACCTAAATGCAAACAAACAGGAGTTTTAGCAGCTTGTCTTTTTCCATATGCAAATGTCTGTATCTGAGTGAGTAAGAATTGTCTGCTTTTTCAAAGGGGGGAAAGTAGGAGGAAATAGTACTTTTCTCCCCCACCCCCTTTTTTTTTTTTTAAAGAGTACGAGATTAAGAGGAGAACCTATTCAGGCATTAACTAATCAAATAGTTCTTGCAATGGCAAAAATAAGATAAAAGGAATTAGAGGATGCTACAATCCTGAAGAAAGAGGAGGAGGAAAGAAGTTCTTGAAGAGTATTGAGGCTGTCAGAATTTTGAGAGCGAATGCCGTAAGTAGTAGGGAAGTATATGTACAATATGTACAGTATTTACCATGTCTTCCATGCCTTATAAGCAGGGAAATGTCCATATTCAGTGTGTTATAAACTAGTAGAGAGTTTGAAATGGGACAGTGAGTTGATGTTGAAATAAAACAGCAGTTTATGATACTGTGTACTATAGGAAAAATTAGGATAATACTGTAGTGCATGCTTTGAAAGATGATAGGTTAGTCATGGCGGTGGTTGCAGTGAAAAAGCAATGAAAACATGGCTCTAATTATTTTTATTTTGTGTTTTAAACCAAATAGGTGAAGACCTTTTCTTAGCAAGCTGTGCTCAGGATTGTTTGATAAGAATTTGGAAAGTGTGTACAAAATCAAAGCAAATTCCAGAAACTGAAGATGATTCCATAAGACTGAAAGAGAATGTTTTTACTGTCAAAGGTAGGTAACAGCTGTAAAATTCTGTTGCGCAACTTTTCACTTGTGTATCTGTTTGTGGTTTCAGGGGAGCTAACGGGGTGGTTACCATCTAATTTGGCTTGTTTCTTGTATTAAAAGAATTTGAGACCAGTTTGACTGCATTATTTTTATTCAGCTGTTAGAAAAAGTGGAGTTACTGTTTTAAAGCCATGACTGTGTAAAGTTAATGTTGTGTTACAAAAAATGGTAAAACAGTGAGAGAGCTTAATATCAACATGTGTTGTTACACATATTCCAAATGCAGTACATAGGAGATACATTTGTCTGTGGGAGGTACGCTGTTGTGCAGTTCTCCTCCAGTTTAATAGCATACCTTTAATTTTCTTTCAAATTCAATGCATTAAGAGGTTAAACCTTAGACAAGTACTGGAGAGAACAGATGGGTGTGTGCAGGCTTACTTTATGGTTATTTAACATACTGTTTGAGTACTGTAACATCAGAGGCTCGCAATGCTGACATTGTGGGGTAAATTATTAGGCAACTTAGGTAATAAAATGAAGTTTGTATGATGTTATGTCTAAGAAGTGCTCATGTTACTTGCTGCAAATCCTGATTCATTGTTTGAAATATCTTGATGCATGTATTTACAGTCATTTGGAGATGTAAATATGCTTAAGAGTATGGGTAGAGCCAATGTCAGAGAGTTTATTTCAAAATTGCTTGAGAGTTCTCCAGGAATTCTGTGATGCCTCTCTGAGGCAATAGGCTGACCTCTTAGCGTCAATCTCAGGGTACTCAGGGCTTGTGGCAAAGTAGGTTTTCAAGGAGCTGTTCAATCTCAATAGGCTATTGAGATATTGGTAATGATGAAAGCAGTTGATTTTTTTTTTTCACTGAAAATACCAGAAATGACCTGGTCTTTCTTGGCTTTTAGAAAGAAATGTGCTTTTCTCTGATTTGTGGTAGATATTGATACAACATATGCAATTACTTTGGAGTCGGTGTTGGCTGGTCATGAAAACTGGGTGTATGCAGTTCACTGGCAACCTTCATTTTCCAAAGGTAAAAAGATACCAAACACTTAGCAGTTATGTTAAGTGTTGTATACATAGAGTACTGTTACATGTCTTTGTATTGTGTTTGCGTGTTCACTTGTCACTGTGGACTATGAAAATGTTTTAAGTTCTGCAAATAATGTTTTATAAGTAAATGGATGTTGCCTTTTACTCGTGTTTTCTTTAAGGAATGAAATAAAATAACTGAGCTGTACTGGCTTTTTTGTAATTGATTTATTGTTTATGGAGTACAAATTAGTTTAATCAGTATGAATTAATAGCTCTAATAGTTTACCTTGATACATGTATTTGAAATGTCTGTTCTTCGGAAGGTAAGCATTAACTCAAGAGCACTCCTTCCTTTTTCTTGGAGTAGAAAGGAACAAATAGCAACATTCAGAAGATTAATCTTCAGTCTTCTGTGCATTAATATAACATGCTAGGGATTCCTTGAGTATCAGTTTTCTCTAGCATGTTGCTTTAAGGCATTAATGCAGACTCTCATTGAAAAAATTATTTACATTTTAATTTTGCATTTTGCCCTAGTCTTTGTCTTTCTTTTTAAATCCTTATATTCTGACAGCCTTGTTTGCAGTACTGATTTGCTGGTGTGTGTCTGTCTGGCGTATAAGGGAAGGAGATTCTTGGTTTGACATGCCTGCACAATCAGAATGCCTTGTGTATTTGTATTGGCAAAGGTGCCTTTTTTTTTTGAGATGTTTTAGAGTTACTGATGGCAGGTGACTTCACCAGTACAGAGCACAGCTTTGCCAGTGTATATATAACACTTGGACAATACAGTGCAATTAGAACGTCAAAATACCTGTAGTGAAAGACACAGGACTTGCTTTAGAAATATTGGCTTGATTATCTGTTCTTTAACTCTTAAAAAGATTTTGCCTGTTAAAGCAAGGTTTAGATGCAGTATAGGCATGTAAGTCTTGCACTGCAATCTGAAAAACTGTCCTGTTAGACCATGAAGTTTTCCAGGTGTCTTACATCATGCTTCTGCATATGTGCAGATGCTTGCATTCTGTGGCCTGCCCAATCTTGGGTTCCTCAAAATAGATTTTCTTCTTCAGTAGAGGCAGACTGATCTGAGAGATGTATTCTCAATGCAGAAGGTAGGGGGTCTGGTGCTGACATAAGGTACCACCTCATGAGATACCCACCAATGTTTCTATTCTCAAGAAAGGTTCCTCAGTGGTTCTCCTACGGGCTTTGCAACTGGCTTGATGAACCAGTTCCCTCTTTCCCATTCTGGCTGTGTTGGGCGGTTGTCTGGAGTGTTTCACTGCATTTTGGGGAGCAGTCCTTACTATTCTATGTATTACAGTAGAATCTATTGAAGTCTGTAGTGAATCTAACACTTTGGGGAAAAAAAAACAGTGAATACTGGCATGGAGATTATTTTGTTTTAAACTCTAAATCTCTCGGTAAAAATTTATTTGAGGAATAGAACTGAGAACTGCTATGCAGTGTCTCTGAAGCTCTAATTTTCCCTCCAAATTACATTTGTTTCAATATCAATTTGGAGTGAATAAACAGTAAAATATGGTTGTTCTCATGTACGTGTTTTACATATCCTTTGGGAGATTATGGCTGAAAAATACAATACCTCCTAATGAATGCCTGGCAAGAACGTAGAGCCTGTTAAATCTGGCATTTAAGTACTGCATTGCACGTCTCTGATGCTGAACAGTTTTCTTAGCCTGTTTGGATTTCAGTGTGACCAAATTATTTTAGAAAGTATTCTCGTAGGTCGTAGGATAATTGTTTTCCTTGTACTGTAGATGGCAGCATGCAACAACCAATGAGGATATTGTCTGCGTCAATGGACAAAACTGTGATCATCTGGGAACCTGATAAGGAGTCTGGAGTCTGGCTAGAACAGGCAAGTGTCAGTCTTTCTCACAGTACGTACTGTATTCAAGTTGCATTTCCAGCATTGTGTGTGTACTGTAGGGAGCAAAAACTCTATAAAATGCTGGGAGAGAAAGGCAAAAGCGTTTCCTTGCAAAAATACTCATTCTGATGCTGTGTGGCAAGTAAAACTATATTTTTCAAAAATGATGTGATGCAATATGATTTTTATTGCTTGTTTGCTTTCTTGTTACCGTATTGAGGAGTTTCTAAGGGGAGTTTGTGCTCAACTGTCATTCATAGTATAGCAAGCCAGGTGCTGCATAGTAACACACTCTGTGTACTCCTGGTAAGAAGAGGAAGAAACCCTCCTGAATTATTTGTAGTTAATCGTTATGGGAATGTGCACCCAAGCAGTAACTACAGAGCAGCTGACACGCAATTCCCAAGCCTGGTTTTACTCACACTAACTTGTTCATGGGCTGTGTCATTAGTTTTTTCTTCGTTTGAGCTGGATACTCACGTTTCACTGTAGTATTTTGAATGCTGTTCTAATGTGGATCAACCTAAATAAACAAGTAGTGCAACCAGATTTATCTAGTGCTTTGGTAGATGTCTTTGTTTCCAGTTGACCTGCTTTTCCAAATTGCAATAGGTTGGCTGAAATCATTTGTGTTGGATTGTGCCAACCATTGTTTATGATCTTTCCAGTCACAAAGAAAGTTCTAATTCTCTCTTGGATGAAAAAAAGAGAATTACAGTAGTGTATTTAATTTTTTCCCTGTTCCATCGAAAAGTTCTTGTGCCTTTCTGCATGAAGTAGAAATTAGTTCATAATAGGGTGATCACATAGAGATGCCATTTGTTGTCCCTAGTAATGCTTAGTTGTGGCTAAATTTACAAGCTTCTAAAAATGGGTTGTGCAGTAAAGCTTGTGGCAAGTTGTTTCTCTTTCTTTTTTACATTCCATTTGCATTGGTTAGACCTAGACGTGCAGCTTGCAGTTCAGATCAGACATTTTAACTGCAACAATCCTTTTTGAATTGAGGGAGGGAAACCTGAGCTGGAAGCCTGCAGGAAGGGCACAAGGGGAACATCCCATTTTCTCTCTTTCATTTTGATACGATGAGAAGTCTTCACAGAATCATTCCCCTGCTCAGAGGTGAGACTAGAATCCTGCTTCTAGGACGGCACATCAAAGTCACTTCCATAGGAGCGGTATTTTTTGAGTGAGCACCAATAAAATGGACATATTAGTACACACTGCCATTTAGAATGATATAGATTCATTCACTGTCTCCCACGGCATTCTCCT